ACAAGTCCTTTGGTTGATCTCTTACCCCCTCAACCCCCGCCTTCCCTCATAGGCTGGACAGTCTGTTTGATGCTTCTATGACTCTGGTTCTATTTTTGTTCATCAATTTATGTTGTTCATTATAATCCACAAATGAGTGAGATCATGTGATATTTAGCATGCATATGAGCATAACCAATGGACAGAGACAGGGGAGGTGGGGAGGGCATGTGCTGGGGGGAAGAGGTCAATGGGGGGAAAAAGGAGACTTATCTAATACTTTAAACAATAAAGAATTTAAATAAAAACTATGTGACATGCAAAGAAACAGGAAAATATGGTCCATATATGTGGGAAAACATCAGTAGAAACTCCTCTTTAGAGGCTCAGATGTTGGACTTACTAAGTATACAGAGCCTTTAGAGATATCTGCATCATGGAAACAGACCAAAAGAGGTTAACAACTGACCAGCATCAGTGTTCAAGGGAGACCAGGAACTGTGATTTGTGATCCAGATTATTTCACAAAATGAGTGCCTTCAATCTGAAGCATCTGTGTGTATACATATATTAAAAATATTCTTTTAAAAAAAAACTATTAATGAGAAGCATGAAATTATTTGAAAATATTTTGGATAAGTACCTAAATAGTCCTTATGTTATAATCTCTTTTTTCAGGTCCTCCAGTTAATGTCACATGCAACATATTCATAAACAGCTTTGGCTCTATTGCTGAGACAACCATGGTAGGCATGTTTCCTTTGTAATAACTTTCATACCAAAGTAATTGATAGTCACATTAATGGCAATTTTTCTGCTAATGTTATTTAATGTAAAGCCAAAATTAACATAATGAGATTTTAAAGGATAAAATTAATGGTGTAATTAAATTGTAATCAACTTCAAGTAAAAATGTTTCATTTAGAGATGGTATATTGTAGAATAAATGTAAGTGAAAACGAGATTGGTTTTTCACACTTCAGGAATTAAATACCAAATCTCAAAATAAAAATAAAATTCTATCATGTGACTTATTTATTCCTTTCCAATGCTTTTTAGTAACCAGATATAAGCATAGCAATAAATAATTCCATGTTTAATTATTTTATGTACTTATAAATATATTCATAATATTGTTTTAAGTATTCTGTTTGATTACTTTTTTCAAATAAGTATAATATTGTCTCCAACATCATAAATATTTTGCAAACAATAGTGTATGCTTTAACTAAACTTGCTGAATAAAGACTTCATTACCATGTAATTGAGAACATTTTACATAATTATTAAAGTAAAAAATATATTATTATAGAACAGATTTATTCTGTTTTGAATTTCATAACTTTCTCTAGAGATCATGTATCTCTTCTTTGCCTTGTAGCCTTTACTGTGCACTTTAGCTAAAATAAAATGCAGACATAGGCACATGAATCACTGCATATCTATAAAAGTGTCTAGCAGGCAACTTTTTAAAATTGAAAGTATGTATGGTGGTTCTTAAATTACCTAGAATTATACTCCATTTCTAAATTTAACAAGTATAATTTGCATTAATTTTCAAAGTTGATTTTAGCTAAAATAGGATATGAAATACTTCAAGATTTATTAGCTTCCAAAACCATTAAGTAGAGAATTATGCTCATGCTCATTTTCTCTATCTCAGAATGATTTGATAGCGAATTTCTAAGGAAAAGTAATCTAATATACAAATTATTTTGTGAGGGAGTGGAGTGTGTGTATGTGTGTGAGTGCGTGTGTGTGCGTGTGTGTAGAGGATCTCTCTCAACAGGAAGAGACTGTTCAGGCACCATCTAAACAAATGGTCTTTTCATCATGTTTGTAATATATAGCCATTTAGCCGCATCTTTGTGGTTTTATTTAAACATTAAAAGCATCAACGAAAAAAAAAAACCTGACTTCACATATTTGGGCATTATATAGAATTATTTTAACTATAGTATATAATTAACATTAATGTGAGTGTCTGTGTTTGTGCAAACACAGAGAACATGCATGTATTTGCTTGTATAAGCACCATGTATTTCTGGTGCAATTCTGACCCTAAAGTGACTATAGTTCTGTTTCAGACCTCTGGAATTTGGTTGAATATCTGGCCAATTTATAACCTGCAATTGTACATAACCACTCCAAATCATCCTTATATATAAAAAGCCAGGGACTGTCACAACCGAAACAACTGGATGGA